GAAAGTCTAATTCAAAAACTACTAAATTGAAGATTAAATTTGTCTAAGATTTGAAGTAAATATTTAAACATAATCTTAAAGACAGTATAATTCTTTTCATATGTAATCGAGTTGACTCATGAACCTAACGAGCCGAACTATGTATAGTTCAAGTTCAGCTCATTTAGTTAACGAACTTAATTTTTCGCTCATACTCAACTCATTTGGTTCATGAACCTAGTTCAACGATTTAATTGTCAAGTCGAATTCCGAACTATCTTCGAGTTGATTTGGTTCATTGCCAGCCCTACCATCATCCATTTGCATTATTTTATAGATGGTTAAAATAAAAGTCAATCTCTTTCCAACATTTATATTTTAAGATTAATTTACGGTGGTGTAAAATCCTTTTAGAATGTATATCAATCTTATTTCAAATTAACTTTTAATTCTTATATATCATATAAGAAGAAAATATGTTCTAAAAAAGATCATATTGCTCTTGCAGATCCCACACACTGTCGCATCTGCTTCTTTTTCTCTATCCATATCTCCAACCAAATTGATAAAAGCATTCTCATTCTTAAAACCCTTTTTCATTACACTTTACCCTTTTCTTTCTCTTTCTACTACATTATACCATTTTTTTATATCTTTTACTAGCCTCTCAATTCACATCATTATGCAATTGTCAATAATAATATAATTATATGTTGCATAACATAGCTTCTTTTCCACATCATTTATTCTCATTCTTTTGATACTTTTATGAACATCTTTATTTCTATCACAAATTTGTTAATTATAACAAGTGTGAGTAGTATGTATAATAGTCTCACATTGGCAAAGAATGTGGAGATTTGAGCATTTATAAGTGGGAGAACTCACACACCTGTCATATTAAGGTTTTGGGTGAATATGTGGTGTATCTCTCACAAAAGTGTTATTCTAAAAAGGAAGTCCCTCAATGTTCAATGCTTTCTAGTTGAAAAAAACTTCCCCCAACAGTGGCGTATGAGCCTTTGGTTCGAGTGAAGGACCGATTCACTTGTATCGAAAGTATCCCCACAGACGGTAGATTGAGTGTCCCGTTGAAAAGTGTCAACGACAATACAAGTGTATGTGGATGAAGCTTTCCTTTAAGAGGGAGCATTGTGAATAAACTCAAACTTGAGGGGGTGTATTAAGTATAACAAGTGTGAGTAGTATGTGCAATAGTCCCACATTGGCTAGGAATATGGAGACTTAAGCGTTTATAAGTGGGAGAATCCACACACCTATCACCTTAAAGTTTTGGGTGAGTATGTGGTGTATCTCTCACAAAGGTGTTCCTCTAAAAAGGAAGTCCCTCAATGTTCAATGCTCCCTAGTTGAAAAAACTTCCCTAACAAATTTTTTTCAATCATTCAAATTTTGTCTTCTACAGAATCTCCTCACAACTGGAGACATCGTATTCTTCATCAGTTCATTCATCATCAGTGGAGTAAAGTTACTTTTACAAACCTTTATTTATTTTGCATGTTTTATTAACAAACTCAGTTTTTCGTTTTCTATTTTTGAGTTGCTACTCATCACTCTTCACCAAAGGTTTCTCTTCTAATTCATCTTTCAAATCTGAAGCGGTTTTCGGTAAAACAATCAGATTTGAAATTGAAACCATCAGATATGAAATTAAAACCAACAAATCGGAAATCGAAACCATCAGATATGAAATCGAAACCACCGGATCTAAAATCTAAACCTTTGGATTTTGTCCTTCTTCGTCGTTCTTTATTGTTTTTCCTTAGAGCATCTTTAATGCAAGTTTTTAATAGTTAAATTTTTTATACTTAACGATGATTATAAAGAATTTGCATTAGAATGACTATGAAATGACATTTAATTCACTAACTTTTAGTTTCCGACAATTATATAGCTAACGTATGCTATTTATTTTGAAATATATAATATTATTATTTATATTATTTAAAATAATTAAATTAATGATAACTTCAATAAAAAAATAATTACAATTAAAAATATAAAATATAGGATCAAATTTTAGTTTTTTTATAAACAACTATCATTAAAGTAAAAACAACTCAAATCAACTATAAATTTTTTAAATCCTACAAATCATTTTGGACCCACAGAAAATATCTTAGTTTACCCACTTAAAATACTCCCACTAAAGATGCTCTTAATAATTACTAACAACTTTTTATTTTTTATGTATTGAAACACTGATGAATCCTTACATTTTTTTACATAATCTTACATTTTTTTTACATAATCTAATCTATTTTTGTTTACATGTATGTTTGATCATTCATACTATAAAAGTGTTTATTTTCAACCTTCTTCTTAAAGTAATAGGCTTTATCGATTTCTAGGTTTTTTTCTTTGTAATTCCTTTTCATTGTTTTTCTTTTTCAGATCTTTTTCAGGCCATTGCTCTTCATCAATGAACCATAACGGTTCTATTTGACCAATGGATTTTTTTCCTTAACTCCTTTTTCAATTTTTATCTATTATATCTATTCTAAAGACGAGTTAATGAAGTGTGAAAATATTCATTTCAATAAATATTAATTATATTTTATTTATTAAAACATAAATATTTTTTTATTTTATATGTATTATGTATTAGATTGTATAGTTAATAATTATAAATGTTAATTTTATTACAATATACTAATTATATAGAAAGTATACAAAAAAGTTATATTTTTATTGCATATTTATAATTAATATTTATATATAGTAAATAAGAAAATTATTAAATAATTAATAAATATTTTTTTAATTATCATAAAAGTGTTAACCATGGAATCATTTTTAATTAAGAAAGATGAACATATTTTAAATGTTAATTAAAATATATTTGTGAAAGAATTGAAAAATTAAATTATTTTAAATGCATATTTATGAATGAGTGATATTCAAAGCATGAATAATTAGAAATGATATTTTTTTATTTTGTATTTGACACAGAATAGTCACTGATTTTCAACAAAAATTACAATCACTGTAACTATAAATTAATGACAATTTTTTTGCTATAATTTATAAAATATTTTTATTGTTGATCAAATACGAAACAATACGTGATTTTTATTGTTTAAATACGAAAAAATATATTGTTGATCCAAATATTTTTATATACAAAATTTCATATAAAATCAATAATCATGCGATCTTTTTTTTAGTACAGAATAATCATAATCATGCAATATAAATGAATTAATGAACTTTAATATAAATTGATCTGACATGGTCAGAAGGGGATCACTAGCTGGCCACACTCTGTTGGGCTGCTGATGAGGAGAAGGAGAGGTGTACCTGCACGACACTCCGATGTCAAAGTAAGTATATGGGCAGAGTGATCGCAAGTACAAAAAAAGGGGTAAGAAGTGATATACCTGACCCTCTTGTGAAATAGGGTATTTATAGAGAGACCCCAGCGCTGGGCCAACGGTACTTGTGTTGGGCTGGATTGCCAGGCCCAACCCAGGTGACTGCTAGGGCTTACGTGGCGTAGTGAAGATCAGGACGTGGTCTTCGCCCTAGTTCAACTGTCCCGTGATCTCCGGAAAGTGGGTTTGACATGCTCTTTCGGAGGTGGGCAGTTGGTCGGTGACGTGTCCCCGCGGAGGGGAGCACGTGGATAACGTGTGAAGGACACGTTGTCCTGCCCGACAGGGGGCGGGTTCTGCCCGCGAAAGGCAGGTCTTGCCCGCGGAGAGGGCAGTGTTTGGGAGAAAAGGGAGTCTCCTGTCCGACGTAGTTGGGGCAGGTCCTGCCCGCGGGGGAACATTTCCTGCTCGTCGGGGACCAGGTGCCCGACGCTATGACTCAAGCTGGACTGGACTTGGGGGAATATTGTTGGGCTGGGCCTGCGTGGTCGGCGCCCAGGCCAGAACATAAATATTAATAGAATGAGACATAAAAGAAGATGGGTAAAATGCATTAAAAATTAAAGATTACAAAAGATAATGTATTATAACATAAAAATTTATAATATTATAAATTATAGTATCACGATTTAGAATAAATACATGAGTAATGTATGAATTAAATTGTATCAAAAGTGTACGATAATATGAAATATTTTTATTGTATGAAAATAAATGTACTAACACATAAATACCCATGTGAAAGCATAAATATCCACGAATTTAAATAAAACTATTATACCAGTACTCATGTGTAACCACAGGTTTAAAGAAATTATATAAACGAAAAAAATAAAATTAATAATCAGAATATTAAATAATAAAATTTATCAATTTAGTATATACATAACAAATATATTATTGGTTCAAATATTTTTAAATAGTCTTATTTTATAAAATGGTAATAACTTAAAAAAAAAAACCTAAAACCTAAATAATATTTATATAAGAAGAAAAATACTATTGATTAAATATTTTTATATTATAGAAAAAAATTATAAACATTAATTTATTCTCTTTTAAAATAATAAATTGTTTTAGTTATATAATTTGAGTAATGTTAACTTGTGCCTTTGGGGCATATGTTAAGGAAATCACTTTTAGTAAATTTGTATTGAAAAAAAATAATTTAAAAAATAATTTTATACTTTAAGTTTGTATACAATTTCCAAGATGATATTTCTTAATTTAGTTCTTAATATGTGCCTCAAAGGCACACGTTAACATTACCCATATAATTTTATCTTTTATTTATTTTATTTTTATTATATTTTAAATGTGGTATCCGGTACGGATGGTATGGTACTAGTTTCAAATTAACTTTTAATTCGCTTTGTACACATAAAATAGTGGTAAAGTGTCGTAGTTTCAATTAGGTTGGGTAGGGACATAACTTTTGATCATCATTTGAACTCCCCCACCCAGTGACGTCACTCATCATTCGTTCATCCTAAGAATCCAACGCTCAACTCTTAAATTCTCTAGAAGAAGAAAAAAATCACCCCCAATTCAGTTCCAAAAACCCTTCATCATTACAGCACTCATCACTGCACATTTCACATTTCACATTCCCAATTTCATTTCTCAATGGGAAAAGGAGGAGGCTGTGTTCCCAGCAAGAAAAAACAACCACTCGTGGCCGATGATTCTCCGCCGCGAGCCGCCCAAGAATCCGAGGAATCAATCCAGGAAACATCGTCAACCGAGACAAAACTCAGGGTCTTCATCGTCTTCTACTCCATGTACGGCCACGTGGAAGGGTTGGCGAAGAGATTGAAGCAAGGCGTGGACGCTGTCGATGGAGTGGAAGGGGTCTTGTACAGAGTACCTGAGACATTGTCGATTGAGGTCTTGAATCAGATGAAAGCGCTTCCGAAAGATGAAACTATTCCGGTTATTTCGCCGGAGGAGCTTCCTGCTGCTGATGGTGTTTTGTTTGGGTTTCCGACTAGGTATGGCTCCATGGCGGCGCAGATGAAGGCTTTCTTTGATTCCACTGGGAGTTTGTGGCAGGGGCAGAAGCTGGCCGGAAAACCTGCAGGATTTTTTGTTAGTACTGGCACTCAAGGTGGCGGTCAAGAAACTACTGCGTAAGTATTTCATCTATTGAACTCTCTGCATTCGGTGCATTCGTTATCTACAGTAAGTTCATTTTTGTGAGTTTGTGCTTCATAGATGTAGAGTCTCTAGTGGGTCAAATTATATCAAATTATATCCTGAGGCTTGTGTTCAGCACTGTTTCTTGTTTCTTATAAGATATATTCAGCATGGCTGGTACTCAATTTTCATACTGTATATCATTTTTTTAAATTTGGTATAGGGAAGAGCATGCTTAATATTTGCTACTGCCTAGTGTTATCACATGAAATGTTTATTTTCAAGATCAATAGTATGTATGAATCATCTTTACTAGCAACACAGAAAATGCTCAGTAGGCCAAATTATTAGCTCTGCAAGTTTTATATGTGATATGTGATGTTTTTGCTCTTAGTCAATTGAGAACCTTCTCCTGGTTATTCAGAAAGTAATCTCAGGTTTTCATTTGCTTTAATAGATGAGAGGTGAGTATGTGAGAAAAGGAAGCTCTGCTGTATTCTTGAGTCCATGTGAGTTGCATGTTATCAATGGTTCATATTCACATCTACATTGCCAAACTATGGAATTTTTAACTATCGTGTATGGATGAAATCAAACGATGGTTATATAAATTTCATGATAATATGCAAAGCTTATTAAGGAATCACCACAGTTGGCCTGTGAAATTCCCTGTGAAATTAGGGAATATGATATAGAGCCAGTTTGAAATTCCCTGTGAAATTAGACATGGAATATAGACAGATTTTTCTTATAATTTTTGCTTTTTTTTATAACTTATTTAAAGGGAAGCATCAATTTAGTGAAGTGAAATCATTGAAGTCTAATGAGCATCGTTTTTATTACAGTTGGACGGCAATCACTCAACTGGCTCATCAAGGAATGCTATTTGTTCCTGTTGGATATACATTTGGACCTGGAATGTTCAATTTGGATTCCATTAGAGGCGGTTCTCCATATGGTGCTGGAGTGTTTGCGGGTGATGGCACAAGAGAGCCAAGTGAAACAGAGCTTGCACTCGCTGAGCATCAGGGCAAATATATGGCTGCCATTGTCAAGCGGCTCGCTAAGTCCTGATGCTGGTTTCTTGATTTCATTCTATTATTGTTGGTCATCTGTATGTTTTCCACCTTTCTTTGCTGTCAAACTGATTCTGTTATTTTACCTGTGTGTTGTGACGAGGAATGACAGTTCTGTTGCACACTATGAGTGTCAATTTTGATGGGGATAGGGATCCCCATGTTGTTATAAGGTTCTGCTTTGTTCTGGAAGATGTACATGTTTCTAAAGTATACATCAAATCTTTTGAGAATTTGTTTTTCGTTTCCAACCTTTTTTTTTCTTTTCTAAAAAGGAGGGACAAAGGTAAATTTTTATTTTTGTTCAAAAAAATACAGGTTTCACATTTATGGAAATAGGTTTGATCTCTACTGCTGGCGTTGTCAGCTAGAGAGCTTTGTTCGTACTACTTATCATTGTACCAACCAACGAAAGAAATTGTAGCTAATAGTAACACGTATGACAAGATTTGTTGTTAGGTAATCACGTACATCCTAGTTTTTGGGAGAGGATTGTCCCCCGTGAAAAATTAACGAATAAAGTGAAACATCTCACCCTAATTCATTCTAAAATATTACTTATAGGATTTAATTAAATAAATAAAATGAAGTGTTGGGATTACACTGGAAAATAAATTGACTGGAGATAGGGCTGGCAATGAACCAAACCAACTCGAAGATAGTTCGGAATTCGACTCGACAATTAAATCGTTGAACTAGGTTCATGAACCAAATGAGTTGAGTATGAGCGAAAAATTAAGTTCGTTAACTAAATGAGCTGAACTTGAACTATACATAGTTCGACTCGTTAGGTTCATGAGTCAACTCGATTACATATGAAAAGAATTATATTGTCTTTAAGATTAGGTTTAAATATTTATTTTAAATCTTAGACAAATTTAAGCTTAAAGTTAGTAGTTTTTGAATTAGACTCTCAAATGTAACTCTTTAAAGTTGTGTAGGTTTTGAATTAGTAGATTTCGAAGATAAAGTTAAATTTCAATATGATAAATTTTATTTTATTTTAATATTTTATTTAAAAAATATATATTTATTTAAAATGTCAAATATACTAAAAAATATATATATTTAAAAAAATAGTTTTTAAGTTCGTGAACCACGTGAGATGAACCTAATGAGATGAACCTAACGAGTCGAACCAAACTGTTCGTGAACTTATAACGAGTCGAGTTTGAGCTTAAAAAGAAGTTCGTGTCAAACTCAAACTCGAACTCGAATTCGAACAATTCTTAACGAGTCGAGCCGAACTGAGGTGAGTTCGACTCGACTCGACTCATTTCCAGCCCTAACTGGAGACAATCTGCTCCCCTAGTTTTTATATGTCCAAAGACTAGGTGAAATTTCATGTAGAATGATCTAAAATGAAACCATTTACATCTCTAAAGACCAAAAATGAAAATTTCATATAGAATGATCTAAAATGAAACCAAAACAGTTGAAGAGGAGCAAAGAAAAAGAAAAGAAGAGAAAATGACACATGCATTGTAAATTTAAACAATTTTATACAGAAATCGATTTAATGAGGTCATGTACATTCCGGATTTTTTTAGAATTCGAAAAAGATCAGTTTTTCACATCGACAATTTATATACGGTCATAGTCTGTGTATATCCGAGTTAGTCTTGGATTATGAAAAACCGAATATAAGGGTGTCTATTACAAAGAGTCGGTCTAATGATTATATTATGGTTGATGTACTTATTAAGTCCTTTATAAATGGTTAAATAGACAGTTGTGTTTATTATGGCCATAAAGTCAATTAATCGTGACTATTCAGTAGCAGGGTAAAGGTTGACAGTACAAATAGGTCTTGAGACCAACAATGAAGGGGGCACGATGAATAACATAAAAAAGAGAAAATCTACGATGAATAACATAAAAAAGAGAAAATCTACTAGAAATCTTGGACCACTAACAATGGTGGTCATGAACTCTATATCAATCTCATACACCCTAACTAGTCATTTGTGATCTTCCCTAACTAGCATTAAGGAAGTTAACTATTTAATTGTTGGTATTCTTGTTTACTAACATGATTAAGGAGATAGTATTCTTATATTTTTGTATATCATCCTACGGCCTCTGTTCTTGGAAGTGAAAGGATCATTATCAATATGGAAGTTATATCAACATTTAACTAAGGATGTTGAATTAAAATTGTATGTCTGCATCTGAGCATTTAACTAAATATAGAAACTTGCTTTCTGCTAAACCAAAAAGTAATCTGTAAGTGTTATAAACTATTGAGTTTATAGAATGTGGGAAGTATTTTTTTTCTACGGACATATTTGTTCTCTTTAGAAAGCTCAGCGTAATGAAATAATAATGGTTGGGGATAGCCTTAAAGAGGATGCAAGTAATTTATTTTATGCTAATTAATTGGATATTTGTTTATATAAAAACAATGTTTGTTCACTTTGATTACGAATAAACAAATGCAAAATCAAACGTGGAACGATAAATATTTTCACAGCAAAATCCATAAAGGATAAGAAATGGTTCCTCATTAACATAGTTGCAAAGATTATGGGATGCAAGGTGTGCCTATATACTACAAGACTACAAATGAGTAATTGTCAGTCACATTCATAACCGCTAAACTGAACAATGCAAGTTCTGTTTTAAATTATTGTCGGATAAGGCGAGCTAATTTTCCTGTTGCTCGTAACTAATGACCTATTTAAAATTTATATTAGACAATGGGTGTCGCTCCTTTCTCCTGCGAGGGAAGGAAGCACCTCTTCTTTTCTAATATTTTAAAATCATGTAGGGTAGTTGTCAGAGCAAAGAGCAGACATAGACTTACCCTCCAATGAATGTAGGGACCAAGAATGGTTAAGACCTCCACAATGGGCATAATTAACTGCGGTTGAGAAACGTTAATAAAACTTATGACCTAACTGAAGTCCAAGCTACTTGAAGCCTCTGGCATAATCAATTGCGGCTGGGCAACATTAATAAAACCTCTGACCTAACTGAAGTCCAAGCTACTTAAAGCCTCTGGTATAATTAGCTGCGGCTGGAAAATGTTAATAAAACCTCTGGCCTAACTGAAGTTCAAGCTACTTAAAGCCTCTAGCATAATCGGCTGCGGCCGGGTAACGGTAATAAAGCCTTTTGCCTAACTGAAGTCCAAGCTACTTCAAGCCTCTGGCATAACCGGTTGTGGTCGGGAAACGTTAATAAAACCTCTGACCTAACTGATGTCCAAGCTACTTGAAATCTCTGGCATAATCGGCTGCGGTCGGGAAACGTTAGCATAACCTATGACCAAATTAAAAAGATCAATACAAAGTTCTTATGGTGTAAATGCATATATATCAACATAATATATACCGTAATAAGCTAAGGCTCGCTGAGGGCTTTGATAGAAGACTATTCCTAACCATTAATATCTGGTTATGAGTTAAACACAATAAAATGCCTTAAGAAGAGGAATAAGACGATAAAAAAGCCTCGGCGTGGATTAAATATTATACGAAAAGGGAAGAATAAAGCTATCAAAAGCATTACATCCTCAAAGGATGATTAACAATATAAAAAAACCTCAAAGGGTCGAGATTCCACTAGGGCTATCTGAATTCACAAGGTCTAGAACCTATTGAGTTCTACAAAGATCACGGGCCGAGAATCCACTGGGACTCTTCGACTTCTCCATGTCTAGAACTTACCGAGTTCTACGACGCCCATAGGTCGAGATTCCACTAGGGCTCTCCAACATTTCCATGTCTATAACTTGTCGAGTTCTACGACGCCAATAGGTCGATATCCCACTAGGGCTCTCTAGCTTCTCCATACCTAGAAATTATAGAGTTATACGATGCTAACAGTCAAGACCCACAAGGGTTCACCGACTTGCATATATGACTAAGACCTACTGAGTTATACGACGACTAATTGGTCGAGGCCCACCAGGGATCTACCGACTACTCTAGGTCTAGAACTTACCGAGTTATGCAACAACTATAGTTCAAGAATACACAAGGACTCTCTGACTTCTTCGTTAAAATTGTAGTCATTTTCATAACTTCATATGAATCCCTTAGAAAAATTGTCCATCATTGAGACCACAAATTTAAGGAAAGGTTTACATGATTCTATATGAATTCAAAGCACTTCGCCTTTACAGGCATCACACCCTTACATACGTCATGCTTTGAGGGCTTATGTACATCCCAAATTTTATTAGAATCCGAAAAAATCTGGTCTTTCACATTGACAATCTATGGACGATTGGACGATTATAACCTATGTATATTCTGAGTTAGTCCACGAATTATGAAAAGCCGAATAAAGGTGTGTCTGTTAGAAAGGACCGGCCTAATGGTCATAATATGGTTACAAGTAATTATTAAGTCATTTACAAATGGTTAAATAGGAGGTTATGTTTATTATGGTCATAAAGTTTATTAACTGTGAATATTTAGTAGGAGGGGAAATGATGATAATACAAATAGGTCTTGAAACCAACAACGAAGGGAGCACGATGAAAAACATAAAAAAGAGAAAACGTACTAGAAACCTTGGACCACCACCAATGGTGGCCGTGAACCCTATACCAATCATAGACACACTAACTAGTCATTTGTGACCTTCCCTAGCAAGCATCTTAGATGTTAACCTTTTAATTTTTTTAGTAAGAACAAGTTATAAATATTTTAGCATTATTTTTAAAATACAATTGCAAAGGGAATTTGTTTAGCAATATATTGAGATGTTATTGGTTGTCGGTGTAAATCTATATTACAATGATATTTCATTCATATTAAACAAATACAAATGATCATATTTCAAATAAAGAAAAAATATCTTTATTCTCAAATTTCTATTTGAATTTTATAGCTATGAGTTGATCTTGAAAATATTATAAGTGAGGGAGAAAGACATTTCGATAAAAGAAACCACATGAGCAATTTGCATATATTTCTTATGCAATTATGACTCAGCGTTTTAAAGGATTTATCATTGTACCAACCAACGAAAGAAATTGTAGCTAAT